ATTTTTGCAGGATAGATACAGTCTTTTGGTGTTATTTAATATCTACTATCCACAATCTAGGGTTTAGGGTTTAGGGTTTAGGGTTTAGGGTTTAGGGTTTAGGGTTTGTGTGCAGGGTTTGAGGGAGAATATGAGTTCGTGAAATATCTGTGGCGGTTTTGGGGGGGGGCCCCAGGAGATAGGTTTTTTGTATGCGAGAGAGAAGAGAGAGAAAAAAATAAAAATAAAAAAATAAATAAAAAAATAAATAAAAATAAAAAAAGAAATAAACTTAATGTTGTAGATGTTGTGTCTTGGTTAGCTGCTGCTGAGGAGACAGTACAAACAAAAGGAGTTGCTGCTGTTGCTGCTGCTCCCCTGCTGCTGGGGCTTGCACACAGCTGCAGCACTGCTGCTGCTGCTGCGCTGCTGCAGCAGCTCATACACTCCCTGCCGACACCTCTTCCTCCTCCTGATGCAGATCAAGGTAAACCTGCTGCTGCTGCTGCTGCTGCTGCTGGTGCTCGTGCTGCTGCTGCTGCTGCTGCTAATTCTGCTGCTGGTGGTGCTGGTGCTTCAGGTGCTACTGTTGCTGCTGTATGTGCTGCTGCTGCTGCTGCTGCTGCTGCTGCTGCTGCTGCATGTGTTACCGCCCTTGTATGTGTTGCTGCTGGTGGTTCTGCAGCAGCAGCAGCAGCAGCAAGAAACTAAACATCTATATAATTTTATAGAGGGAATACACACAGAGAGAGATAGATTTCTCACCGTTCTATTAGCTTCTCTAGCTACGCCTGGTGTATATCTACCTGTACAGGTATGGGGGCCCCCCGGGGGCCCCCAGGGGGGCCCCCCCGGGGGCCCCCAGGGGGGCCCCCAAGGGGGCCCCCAAGGGGGCCCTCATGGGGGGCCCCTGCAGCAGCAGAAGGGGACGTATATAGACGGTTCTTTTGTTGGTGATCGGGGTGTACATGCAGCTGTAGATGCATGCGTAAATAAACTAAAACAAAAAGGGATAGCAGCAGAAGAAATAAAAAAAGGAAAAGGAGTTGTATTTGACTTTGTATCGACTGTACCCCTCACAGAAACAGAAACAGAAACACAAATGCATGCAATCATACAACACCTAGGCTTACTGGGGCCCCCCCACCAG